TTTTTTTGCAGTGATAATTACTGGTCACTGTCAGGATCTTGGCAGCGAGTGTGTCTGCGTGTGACAGGAGGGGAAGGCAAATCACGGCTGGGTCTTTGTCCCTGCGGCAAATTTTTTACCTGTCATGTTGTCTGTAGTTGCTGCCAGTGGGGGGGGGGGGGGGGGCTGTGGGGGCGGTTAGAAATCAACAATCCCCCCCCCCCCCCCCCCACTGGCAGCAACTACAGACAACATGACAGGTAAAAAATTTGCCGCAGGGACAAAGACCCAGCCGTGATTTGCCTTCCCCTCCTGTCACACGCAGACACACTCGCTGCCAAGATCCTGACAGTGACCAGTAATTATCACTGCAAAAAAATAAAATAATAATAATAAAAAGAAAGAATCCCATGGCAAGATCACGGTGCGTAACGCAGGCCTGGCAGTCGGGTACGTCTGTGCCACGTGGTGGTTGGGTGCTGCTGGAAGGCCCAGAAGGCCCAGGCAGGTTGGGACGTGCACCGCGCTCGCCGCGATGGAATGCTTTCCGGAGCCATCTCTGCCGGCATGCCAAGACACGCCTAACCACCCGACGAAGCCGGTCGACTACCGAAATCCAGGTGCCGCCCGCGGCAGACGTTATCCAGATAAACGCGGCCTTTCCGGGACACAGCCATGTGACCCGCGCGGTGCCACAATCCGGAGCACCGTTAATCTGAACCAAAACAGCAAGATGCGTGGGGTATTAAGAGCTCCACTAGGGGGCGCTGACATCCGGTCACAGCCTGTCAGAATCACCCTGTGTCGCTGCTGATGCCGCACCATAGTTCTGGACCACGACCGTATGCGACGGGTCACCTGCATGCCTGAGAGGCTGCTGACAGGAATGGTGTCCATAGTTTTTCAAGATTTAAAAGTATTTTCCCTGTTTGGGTTTGTAGCCTTCAGTGGTCAGACTGGCCCCCATTCTGAAAATATAGAGGCCAGCCGTCGTTGCATCTAGCAGGGAACGAGAAACGAGCGCTGAGGCGACCCGGAGATGATGCCATCCCAGAATCCTTTGGTGCAAAGCATGTCATTCCCATCAGAAGACCTCAAAAAAGCACCAAAATATCTACTGCAAAAAGATCTCACTGCCAACAGCCTAGACCACTCCCCCTACCCCAGCCTCCCCAGATACACACGCCACCCTTATTACGCCGCTCAAACTCACCAAGTCTGACTTGAAGTAACTCATGGAGTTTTCATCCAACATGAAGTATCTCCTCTTCCAGTTCTTCATCTGGCCGACCGTGACGGATGAGAGACAGAGGACCATCATCCGCTTAGCGATGACTCTTAGAACAATCTCACCGAAACACACTGATCTTGCCCAAAAGACGCCACGCTCACTCACCACGGCGCCCTGCTTCACGCAGTAGCCTGCCTTGATGACCGTGTGGTCCTGCAGTGGTCGGCCCACATAGTAAGGATGCTGGCTGTGTGACCGCTTCACGCCCGGCCCGTTCGGACCCTCCCCACCTTCCTGCAAGGAACACCGGCGAAGAGCAGAGGCAGAGGGACATGAAGAGGCTAAGAGTCAGCATCTGTTTATTTGCTGCAGGAGGGGTTATGGGTCTTAAAGACCAGCTTGGACAACTCTAGCAGGCATTATCGTCAGCCAGCTAAGGCCCCGTCGGGTCCTGAACTCTGACCTGGGTGGGCGTGATGATGGGAACCCCTCCAATTATCTCCGTTTTGTACGACACCTGCTTCTTACTTTCCGGGGGGCCCTCCAGGTTGGGCTGCCCGTCGCCCGATTTTGGCACCTGCAAAGGAGACGGAAGCTTATGGATCACGTGCCGGGTGGAATCTGAACATCACACCCCTCACCTGCCATTTACACGCAAAACTCTCACAGAACCTGGCCAGAACTGGGCCGGATGGACAAAGACCAACACGCCGGCATGCCCGAGTGCGGGTGCGGGTATGTTTTTGGTGTACCCTGTGTACCCATCTGAAATACCAGGCAGAAAAGCATGTTTACCGTGCAGTCACCCCCCCCCCCCTGCTCCAGTGGGTAGGGCAGAACCTGAGCACCTGTCACCGCTGTTTACCATCCCAGAGGTTCAGTGGCAGGGTAAAGAAACCTGGTGTGAGAGCGTGACGGATCTGTGCTGGCGTGTGTAGGCAGTGTGTTCATTGAGCCCAATACAGTCAGGTAGTATCAGTGACTGCTGACCCTGGGGTAAATCGGACTTTCATATATCTGTCTACTAGGGCGGCGACAGTGAGCAGAGTCATACAAATCAGTGTCACTACTTTGGGAGGGAGGGGACTCACTGTGATTTTGGTGGCATTATTGAGTACAGTCACCCACTCCACCAGGTCCTGCTGGTCGTTTGCCTGCAGGAAGACCTTCCTCATGCCGGCATTGATGACTGCAGAGGGAGAGTATCATGGGAGAAGTCAATCCACCTGGTGGCCTGAACCAGGACATTCTCACAGCCAGGGGGCGCCCTCTTAAAGCAAGCGATATCCAAAGGGCAAATTGAAGAAAGAGTTACAGGGATTTATAAACAGCAAATTCCTCCCCGGTTTGCTTCAATGAGCTCATGTGAGAGTCAAAGCCAGCCTCTTCACCCTCTCTGGCTCCTGCAAATGTGCAATCGCACAAGCACCCACACAAACACGGGGTTCCCTGCCAGACCGGAGTCTACAGAACCGCTCTGTAGGAAACAATGCTCAATGAGTCTGGGAGAGCTCCGGCAGGGTCTGGAGAGGCCTTGTGACTGACTATACATGTCACCACCAACGCCCAGCCCCGCAGTCGCTTGTTTGCACCTTTTTCTGCCTTTCCCCCCAAAGCAAACCTCTTTATCGTCAAGACGACAGGAATAAATGCAGTTGGAGAGGCACAATTATGTAAATATCGGGCCACCCGATCTGTACGACGTTTAAATATGTAGCTATACGGCCCAAGAGATTAAGGATTTCCAAGAAGAAAACATTTGCGAAGCCAACAGTTCGGTCGTGTGTGTGTGGGAGTGTGCTTGTGTGTGTGTGGACCCCCCCCCCCGCAAACCAGAGAGACGTGCTATATGGGGGCTCCTTCCTCCCACCAAGGAACACATCCTGTGTTTGAGCGGTGAAATCCTCCCACTGTCAGTGTGTGTTGCGCAGTGCCGAGGTCCGTAAACGCTCCAGGGACGACCCCGCAAAGGAAGTGACTGCATTCCAATAGCATTTGCGATCCCCTGCATGAGTGGCCGTCTTTACCCCCCCAAAAAAGAATCAAACCCGTTTTACTCGACAGCTCAAGGCTAAAAATACCCTGCGGTTTGACAGTGGGCTCTCAGCCATCATCCTGGTTAAGCCCCCCCCCCCCATGCAGTGACAGCAGGATGAGGTCGAGCACTGGTCCCTCTACTGCTTCCTGCCATTCAGTGCCAGAGCAGTGCACTGTAGGAGAAACAGCACTGTCACGGACGCCGTCGGACAGGAAGCCCCCGGGGAGCGGTACTGAGGGTCCGCTAGGAGCAGGTGGGGGGGGGGGGGGGTCAGCCTATACCGTCACCAGCAGGACGTTGTGACACAGGGATCGCCAAACAGGCTCTGTCTGGTCTTTCACTCACAGGATGTTTGAACAACCCCCCATCCGTGTTCACCCAGGGGGGCCTTTTAGGTCCCAGCAACCCCCCCCCCCACCCCCACCCCCTCCCAGCCCAGGCCTCTTAAGTGGTCACCTGAGGAGGTGCAGGGAGCCCCCAGACCGAGGCGTGCCCTCAGCATGTGCCATCTTCCTGCCTGCTCCACACTACCCGGGGGGGGCGATGTGACAATAGATTTGTGAAAGCCCCCCCCCCAGGCCACAGTACGGGCCCCCTCACGCATGCCAAGCCAGAACCGACAGAAGGACATAAAAAAAAAAAAAAAGTAATGCCATTTTTCAGGCCATTTGTTCAGTCACTGCTTTTGAAATCACGCCCGGCAGGAAAAAAACGTGACGGCGTTCGGGCTTCTGACGGGAAAACTCACGCCGCGGTTTCGCCTGACGGTGCCATGAGGGGGAAACGGACGGCGCCCAGGCCGTTTCTCCATCTCCATCGCGACCTCAAGACGACCTTGAAGACGTCGAACCTCCCGCGGCACAACAAACAATGACCGAAAACACGTGTAGGCGATCTTATTACAGAGCGCAGGGCGCGCTGCACTGGTAACGTGCTAACTTTTAATTAACGCTCGCTAATCCTGCGACCCTGTTCAGAAGAAGTGTGAGCAAGATGGATGGATAGAAATTTTGTTAAATAATTACATTCTGGTCTGCATTATCGTTTCTTGACAAGCTAAAGTGTCCCGGCAAACAACTGCACGCCACGATCTGACTATAAAGAGACGGTCAGGTGTCTCACCGAAGCAGAATTCAGCCTTCGGTCGTTGCTTGGTGGCGTCGCTGACCTGAAATGCAGGACGGAGCGAGTTAACGGAAGCGTCACGCAGACTGATCACGCGGCACGCTTGCCGTGGGAACTCACCTTGGAAATGTAGGTGAGCTTAAGGGAACCCACGTGCTCCGCACCTTTGGGCAGGTTCTACGGGAGAAGGAGAGGGAGTCAGAGTCAGAGATCACAGCACTGAGCACCAATAATGCCAGAAGGGTTCGCCTGCCCATGTTCACCTAGAACACAGTCACTGTCCTTAACTATCAGGCCACTAGCGTTACATGGTTTACAGTGAGGCAACTATCGTAGACATAGAATAGTTTAAGACCTAAGAGTTGGGGGGGTGGGGGGGGGACTGGGAAAAAAACAGAGGGGAAAAAGAACAGGCTGTATAGCTGAATGAAAGTTTCAGAATCTTTGAAAATATAAAAGAGTGCGAGTGAATAATTGAAAGCCTGGAGTGGCATCAATAAAAGATGCCCCCCGTGCCCAGTCTGCATCTGTCCCCCCCCCAGGCAGGGACTCACCCTGCAAAACCCGGGACTGTCAAACACTGCAAGACACGGTTTGTGCGTGCTGGGGGGTGGGGATTTATATCTTGGGGTTGCAGAGGTCATCTGACAAGAATGTGTCAAACTGAATGGGATGTTGTGGGGGGGGGGGGGGTTCTGTTGTTCTGCTTCTGTTGCTGACTGGCTGTACGTTTCACCCAGAGGCACATAACAACAAACAGAGGATTGGCATGATGCTGGTGCATGTGGGGGCCGCGGCGCCTACCTGGGGATTGTCCATGAACCAGAGCAGGCTGCCCGCCTGTGTGTCCAGGATGAAGTAGCGCCGCAGAAACTTGCCGCTGTTCTCGTTCTCCTCGATGTCCAGGAACCCGCAGAAGCGGTTCTGCCGATCCACGTAAGGCATCTCGGCGGCACCAGCACATTCCACCGCTAAATGGCAAGGGGGGGGGGGCAGTCTTAGCTGAATCCTGAAGAGGCCTCACCAGGCCAGATTTTCCTAAAAACTTAGCCCCCCCCCCCCCTTCCACACATATGCCCCCCCCACACTGACAAATGGCACCGTATCCGAAAGACAGGCAGCTTAACGGGTGCCCCCGTCCAGGGCATGGTGACGTGTTTACCATGAGAGACCCCGGACGCTCATCTCCCTCCAGATGGGAAACCCCACCGCAATTTTTACTGGGCTCCGGGGAACATTTACTCACTCCCTCTGTTTTAAAAACACGCTAGTGTGTCATCACAGCACCCACACCCACCGCGGCCATCACCGCTGAAAAAGGGCGAAACAGACACAAGGCAGCCAAGGGAAAGATTTCGGTAAAAATTTCCTGTCAGATGAAAAATAAAAAACGGCAATCCCCAAGTTACAAATAAAAACTCTCAATAAAATTCCAGGCGTGTTTAGAATACTTCTCTCAGACTGGACATGTTGTTGGGTGATTTGCAGAGGACAGATTACCCAGAAACCCTGCTTTGCTGGGTAAATTCACACAGAAACCAGTCAAATACATTTTCCTGAGCCAGTAAAGAGCCTGAGCACAGGTTACCCTGAAGGGGACACCATCCTCGCTGGAGAGGAACACAGTTTAAAAATGCTCGGTGATGTTTGATGTCGGGGCCAGTGGTTTCCGGTCCATTTGCAGGTCCTCTGGGCATCATTGCAAACCATCTACACGCCTCATTTACCCAATTCAAGGACAACAGACCCCCAGCTATCCAGAACTAGCAGTTTTTACTGGAATCCAGTGTCACACTAGAGATGGTGTCTCTGCAGGGTTTGCTGAGGTGGTGTGGAATTCGCATAATACTGTCGCTGTCTTCACGTGTGCCATCTCCCACCCCCCATCTGCCACCAAGCCGTCTGCTCCTCTCCCCTCCCTCCCTAGTGCTAAATTAGAAGGTCAGAGCATTCCCCATGCCTTGATTTATTGCTGCTACCTGAAGATTTCAGGAACAAAAAATCCATGGTGAAGAAAGAGGCGGGACTAGAAACCGGCATGATGGTGTGTAAGATTTAAAGATAAAACTGGCCATTTTAAGGTCCCTGTTCCTATATTCTTGGTCAAGGGACCACAGACACTTCAAACAACCAAGCTGCACGCAAATGTCGGGGCAAATCCTTCCTCTCTTATATACTAGCAGCTCCCAGCGCAGGAGCTGCCAGCTCTGCAGTATATCATGGTATACTATGGCACAGGGGGCTGACCGGCTCTGTGGTGTATCATGGTATACTATGGCACAGGGGGCTGACCAGCTCTGTGGTGTATCATGGTATATTATGGCGCCGGGGGCTGACTGGCTCTGTGGTAAATCATAGTATACTATGGAGTAGGGGGCTGACCGGCTCTGTGGTGTATCATGGTATACTATGGCACAGGGGGCTGACTGGCTCTGTGGTATATCATGGTATACTATGTCGCTGGGGGCTGACCGGCTCTGTGGTGTATAATGGTATATGATGGCGCTGGGGGCTGATCGGCTGATCGCTAAATTACCCAGAACCCTGCTCCTCTGGGGCAGACTATGTGGTCCAGGACTCCATAACACTCCCACATACGTAGAAAGATTAATCTGCTCTACGTGGACAGACACACCGATCTTTCTGGTAGCTCCTTCCTCAAATTGACCATAAAAGGAAGCTGAACCGCAGTAACTAACCACAGTCCCCAGAGCAATTACCGAAACCGGTCTGGCAGCTTTAGAGAGCCAGGCACCGCCCACAAAGCGCTGCCCCAGTACTCACTGTGAAGGCATCACTTCAGCGTACATTAACAGTTACCCAAATCATGACAGCGTGTGTTCCCACCAAAGCTAGTGCCTGGACGCTTCAGAAAACCTTTCCTCTAGCTGGAACCGGGAGTGAAACTCCAAAAACCGAAGTCAGGAAAACGTTACGCATTTCCGCTTTTGACACACCAGCAAACCATGATTAAACTGATTCATTCTGTAACATAAACACAAAACTAACTATCCTCTCCCTTGGGCAAAAACAAACTTTTCACAGAAGGTCCATGTGCTCAAAGCAACGTCACGTTTGTGATCAACAACACTGATTAAATAAAAAATTTTGAGTAACTATAGACCCATGACACAATACTATTAAATAATATACCAAAAGCCAATTTAAGCTTATTTCATTCTGATAGCGTATTTTAAAGATATTTTCCGAGAAACAAGCTGAATAAACTACTACTAAAACAGCAATCCTTTCAAATAATTTATATGTGACAGATTCTAAAGACGTGCCTGACACACAATGTAAGATTTATTATTCAAATAAACTTCTCACAGCACACGAGATCAGTCAGAGAGATTTCTGTGGATCAGTCAACTGTGTTTCAAAGCCTAATACCTTAAAGCATCAGGCAGAGCTCTCTGTGGGAAAAGCAGAAAAAAAAATGAAGGTGGTTTTTGAGCGTTGGTTTGCTATCACTGCCTCTGACAGACTTGACAGTTTCTCAGCCTACAATGTTCAGTGGTCTGCCATCAAATCAGCACACTAGGCAACAGTCTTCCACAAGTGGTTTTGTGGGGGTGGGGGGGGGGGGGGGGGGGGGGGGGGAAGTTACACACTAGTGTACGAGGTGTGAGGTGTGTCACGTCACCCTCCTGGTTATTTTGTTGAAATGAACAGGAGAACCTCCCCAAACTGTAGCAGGTTCGGCCAGCACCCCGCCCGCTGTGTACAAATCTGATATGGAGAAAGCGGCTCTCCAGAATGGCACCACTGAATCTGAGCTTTGACCCAGGGATTTGTGGTATGATTGGCAATTGAGCTTTTCTGGGTCAGTTCATACTAAAGCACCCTGGCAGGTGGAAACAACTCCATTAAAATTAACAACACCTTGGTAAGCCCAATCCCCTTGTGATGCCACGTGAGACCCAGGCTCCCACCCGGCCCTACAAACCGGCAGTAGCTATACCCCCTAACCCACGTGTGCCCACCTCTCTATAGGGGGCTGTTTTGCTATAAGACCGGATCATGAGGTTCCTCAGTGGCGGTGAGCCCATGTGAAAATACACTGAACAGGATTACTGGGTTTCCTTCTCCCTCCCCCTCCTCAGCGCAGGAGGCCTCCAAAAACAATAGCAATGAAACACATTTAGCAAACAGAAAAAAAACTCTATTTTGGGTATGGGTAAGCCAAAGGGCATCCATGTTGAGTTGAAAAAGCTCCGCTCTTCTGAGCAGAATTTCCCCTGACAGGGTATATATACACGCCCTGGAATGGTCAGCATCCAGTTGCGTGGTTGACTTACTGTAGGTTAGTATACGACTTCCTAAATGGGAGTGACTGGCTATTTAGCTAGTTTTCCCACGCTACCAACGAGGCAAAAAAAAAAAACGCTACAAGTGTTTTTGTTGCTGCTATTGACATTGCTAAGTGCGAAATTAATAGAATTCCCGTTCGCTTTTGTCTTCCCTGGCTTTCAACTTGTATTTATGTAAGACCGCATAAACAGCACATGCAAGATGAAGATTTCTTGTATTTGATTCTATAGACCAGGTCTGATTTTTATATTTGCACGTTCACACTTCATAGGCACTTAATCCACAGTAATCAGCCTTTATTCCCATTTTCAGGTAACAAACCGATTCCCCCCCTCTTCCCACTACAGATTGAATCGGAATCTGTGTAAAATCTATGACCTCGTGTATGTATCTGTGTATCTGAGAATATAAGGCCTGTATTTAAAATATGAAGCTTGGTTCTAAAAACTTGAAAACTTCTATTTAATGCAGACAACCACCCCCCCCCCAGGTGTTTCTGTGTTTGTCTGTCTGTGTTCAGCCTTACTCAACACGCTGCTCACGTTTTATTATTTATTAGATGTTTAGGAAGATGTTTTTTTTCTCTCTCCGGTTTGCAGACTTCCTTTTAACAGAATTCGGCCCTGCGAATATAATGGTGCCTTTGAGACTCTTTTGAAGTGTTATTCTGGGTACAAGCGCCTCCCCACGGGACTCTGAGTGAATGCTGTCAACTTTCCTGCGCGGCCTGAGGTGCCCTCAGCAGCTGACCTCCTCCGCAGCTCCACGGAGCGTCTCCTTTGCCGAGCGCGGCGCCGCGACGCTGTGCAAGCTGCCAGCGTCTATTTCAGGAAAACCTGAAAAAGGGAATGAGCTGAGATGTGAATTAGAATCGTAGAATTAGGTAATCAGTGATGACACACCGCAGCACCCAGTACACAACAACGAAATGAGTCCTCTGTATTTAACCCATATGTGACATCATGACATAGCAGGGGGCAGCTGATTCAGCGCCCGGGGAGCAGTGCTTGGGGGCGGTACCTTGCTCAGGGTACCTCAGTGGTAGCTTGATTTCAACCAGCAATCTTTCAATTACACGTGTGCTTCCCTAACCGCTGGGCCACCACTGCCCACGTCCCCAGTGTGTTTGAGTTTCCTATACATTTTGAAAATCTGAAATAGTTTAGTTTTAATTGGTTTGGTGTACATGCAGACTAGCAGAAGCTGAGCGTCGGGTCAACCCTAACCCTAACCCTAACCCTAACCCTAACCGTACATCCTTTACTTTTCTATAAGCATTCAGCCAACACTGTGCGGTGCCCCCTAAATGGAAAACCAGCCCACCACAGTTTAATCAAGCTATTAAAAATCAAATTTAATTTAAAAAATCTAATTAAAAAACAAGAAATCACGCAGGGGTAATTAAACCCATAACAGATGCAGTCGTGACTATGTCCAAAAACTCTTTCACATAAGGGTGTGGTTTTGGTTTCAACACTATAGGGACCAAATCAGCCCCCAAACCCCGCCCCCTTAAACGCACACGGTACTCCCACAAATATTGGCAGGGACACGTCCCTATCGACCAAACCCGAGGCTACGCCCTTGCTCTTGAAGATGTATTACCTTAGTCTAAAATGTGTATAATTCAGCTGTACAGCTGATAAGTGGCTGAGAAT